CTCCTGACCTGATATTGCTCTGCTCACTCAGTGTCCACTTGAGCAGCCTTTCCTGCCCTCCACAGCCCTGGCCACCACTGTCTGTTTCCACAGGTCCCCCAGCTCAACACCTGCCCCCCCGCCCTTCCTCCATACATCACTGTCCACAAAGTGTTGGTCAACCTCTCTAGACCAGTGTCCTTGAGGGCAGGGGTCAAGGACTCCCAGTGCCAAGCAAATAAATGTCACTCTGTATGTGTCAGCTTCCATCTCTCTATGAAAATATCTGTCTCTCCAAGAAGCAGGCAAGTCAGGGGCTGGTGTTCATATGGACCAGCAGATGGGGAGGAAAGGGGGGAGGGGAAGAGTATGGAACTTATCCAGTTCTGGTTTTTTTTTTTTTTTTTTGTGGCATTGGGGTTTGAACTCAGGACCTTGCTGAGCCACGCCTCCTCCAGCCCTACTTTTCCAATTTCTAAGAGCAAAGACCTGACAGCTGGAGTATACTGGCCAGGATCCCTATCCAGCCCCTCATCCCTTCCCCAAAGGCTGGTCTGTGTGGTCTTGGCCTGACCTGAGCCTGGGGGTCTGTAGAGGCTGGGCGTCCCCTCTCACCCAGCATTCCAACCCTCACACCCTCTCCCCAGCCAGCACAGGCTCTGCCAGCTGGCAGCCTCCCTCCTCCTCGCCCCCACAGACTCCCCCAGTCACATCTGGGCCACTGGTCCAGCCTCTGAGGAAAGGGCTGGGGCTAGAAGTAGGGAGGGAAGGAGGCTACCCCAAGGCTGGCTCAGGATCCCACCCTGAGGGCTAGAGAGGACCCTTGGCCTCAGACCCCTCTCCTCCCTTGGCTGGAGAAGCATAGGATTCTGGGAATAAAAGAGAAAACAAAGCCACAAATTTAGGAATAGCCCTTTGCTGGTCAGCAAAGACTGTGGCCAGAGGGGAACTCAGCCCAGCCTTTCTGTAGGGCATTCTGGCAACAAGTGTCCAAAGCTCTAAAACAAGTCCATGCCCTTTGACCTCACAGTTCCATGCCTGGAAATGTATCTGAAGCAGAACAAGTGGCAGGGCAAAGACAGAGGAGTTGTAACGCTCACCCAGCATTTGTTTAAGGCAGTGAAATACTGCGAGTGACCTGCAGGGTGATCAACAGAGGATTGATAAGTCAATCACGGTTCATTTACACTGTGGACCTCTAAGAGCCTCCCAAATGATGCTGGAGCTCTAACAGGACAGGAAAAGATGGCCACAAAATGTGAACTCAACAGTCCACTGAGGCTGGTGTGGAGCTCAGTGGTAGAGCACTTGTCCAGCATGCACGAGGCCCTGGGTTCCATCCACCCAGGGTAAAAACTCTGGGGAGGCAGCAAACGTGCCCGACCTGCCCACCTCTGTATGGCCCACACCGGTATGCACCTGACTCTTAACAGGTACTGAGCACATATCTGTTAGATGAGTAAATATCACACAGTAGGTACTCAATATGCACTTGTAGAATGGGTGGCTTCTCCAGGTGCCCTGCACACAGGCACCTTGAGTGAGTCAGATTGAATCAGCTTAGCCCTTCCTCTCATAAACCACGCACTGCACAGGGAGCTAGGGAGCTAGCAACCCTTTGTTGGCCACCACTGCTTGCCCCAGGACAGTGGTCACTCCCCACAAGGACTCTCCTGTCTCCTACCTGCCAAGACAAGAAGGCTTCATCCAGGCTTACTTTCTCTAATCTATATTAACTAATCAGTGGCATTTTTTTCTATCAAGTTTATGTTTGGATGTTAAGTGGATCTTTTTTGGATCACACCTTCCCAAGACTCCTGCCCTTAGGGTGGATGCTTCTGGGGGACTGGGGCTGAGGCAGGCCCAGTCAAACTGTGTCAGGACATGGTGTGTCTGCACCAATGTCTTGATACGGATTTCCTCAGGCTGCTGATTCTTGGTCCTACCTCAGAGCCACATGACCAGGCCTGGGTAGAGGCCTAGCCAGATTCAGCCATTTTTGCCAACTTGCCAGGTGGTTCTGACCTCGGTAAGGTGAAGAATCATCACCATCCCTGCGCAGCCCAGTGGGAGGGCCAGTGCCTGTGGTGGCTCCACGGGCCACAGCAGCAGCTGGGGGTCTTCTGGGTTTGTTAATCATACCCTGCCTGGCCCCCAAGTGCAGACAGTGGCAGGTTGGTCCAGGCCTGGGCCTTGCTGGTCTGTCCGGTCTGGGGAATAATAGCATAGAAGGGAGTCCCAGTGTCACTGCACCTCAGTACTCACAAGGAATGCTGTGACCCCCAGGTGCCTGGCCACAGCTTCCTCTAAGACAGCCCCAGGAACCCCAGCTCCAGGACTTTGGAGGCTCTGGATGAAGGAAATATGGCAGAGGTGATGAGATGTCGCTTCTGAGATCAGGTTATGAAAAGACCGTAGCTTCCATCTTGGATGCTCTGTCTGGGTGAGTCACTGTGTATGCAAGGGCCTGCCAACCACGGGAGGGGTGGGAAGCGGACTCCTCCCCAGTTAGCACCCAGCCAGCAGCCGAGACTGAGACTGAGCCACAGGCACCCACCCAAGCCACTCCTGGATTCTTGACCCTCGGGGACCACAAGACAACCAGTGCTTGCTGGCTTAAACTGCTAAGTCGTGGAGTACCTTGTTAAGCAGCAAAAGTAATGAACATAGTACCTCTCCTTAAGCCCTCAGCACTGGCCAGTGACCAGTTCCTCAGTGGGCCGAGCTAATTCCTATCCCTAGGCAGGAATATTCATACAGACCCATGCTCTAGGAGTCCTGGGCCACCCAAACAAAATATCCCTCGCCCACTTCTGTCATTTTTCTATGCCTACTGAAGCCCGAGCAGTTCCTACTAAAACAAGTGCAAAGCTCCATCGCCTTTGGTCTGTCTCCTCCAAGGACTGTGAGCTCCAGAGGGCACAGCCACAACTGAACTCTCCTTTGCATTACCTATCCTCAGGCACAAGTCTGAGACAGAGAGGGCTCAGTGAGAGTTTGATGAATGAATAAATAATCAACAGTGAGCAACTGGTTTTAGATTTGCAGGTCTGCACCACCTCCTCCCACCCTGGTCCCATTTCACCACTGTCATCTTCCAAGGTGGTATTTGTTCCAAGGATATAAAACTAAATTTGTGAGCTGGAGTGTGGCTCAGGTGGCCTAGCATGCATAAGGCTCTGGGTTCCAGCTCCAGCACCACAAAGATAAATAAATATAAAATAAAAATAAAAATAATAAAACCGAATTTGTAACCTTCTTCAAGATATCATCCTTCCCCCCAAAATCCCATTTCTTTTCCAGAAACACCACCTCTCTGCAAGCCAGAATTCCCTGTGATCTCCACCTCTCCGCTCCTCCCTCTCTGGCCAGTCTTCACATCCACCCACTTCCTTAGTAAAACAGCATGTGGCCCCACACAGCACTGCGACACCCCTGTGCGACTGCCTGTCATCTCTAGAGATGGCGGTAACTGCGTCCCTACAGGTCACTGCCTCTTGTTGTGACATTCACCCTTCCAGGACCTGGAACATGATGCCCGGCTGTCTGAGAGGGCTGGAGGGAGAAGCCATGGCAGTGGGGAGAGGGGATGACACAGGGTGTTTTATCAGTGAGGAACGCCGCATCCGTTCCGTCCTCACTTTTCCTGGCCCACCAAGATCCCTGAAATAGGGTCCAAATGCTTAATTTGGCATTTGGGGTGCCCAGGATCTGGCCCCAGCCTTGGATTCCAGTGGGGGAGGCAAGAGGAAGTGGCACAGAAGGCTTCAAATCCCCCCTACAACTCCAGTGCCCAGTGCTCACAGTGTGGAGCACCTGCTCAGGCTGGGCTTGTATGCGGCATCTCCTTTAGTTAACCACTATTAAGTGCTTCCTGTGTGCCAGAAACCATGAGAAGCACTTTACACATCTTAAAGTTCTTGACTCCTCACACCACCCTTTGAAAGAGAGTTTTGCTCTTGGCCAAGGTCACAAGCCTAATAACTGGCTGGGTTGCAAATGGAAGCCATGTCTTAACACCTTTGCAGCCTCCTTACCACCATGCAGTACCTCTGTGTTTGCAAACAAACCACCTTCTTGCTCAAATAGCGCCTGTACTATTGTTTGCTTAACATTTCTTTTAAATTAACTAGGGGCATGGTGGTTAAGAAGACAGGCTTTGGCACCGTGCTCTCTGGGTGAGAATCCCAGATGCCCTGCCTACTCTCTGAATGACCTCTCTGGGCCTCAATTTCTTCATAAAACAGTACTTTCCCTTGAGGGGAGAAATGCCGTCAGGGCTTACACATAGTAAAGCGGTCCTGGTTAGGCCTGGCTCCCAGTGAGAGTGCCCTTTCCCCTCTCTGTGGATTGGAAGTGACCCTTGGCCTGATTCAGCCATTTGAATGAACAGAGGGAGGTGTGGAGCATTCTGGATGGAAGCCTCAGAGCCAGTGCTCAGACCACCACACTTTCTCCCTCCTTTTTTTGTTTTGTTTTGTTTTGTTTTTGGAGTTTCTCCCTCCTTTTGTCCTTCCAAACAATGACCTCCCCGTTTGCTTGGCTCCAAGAAGAAGTCTCAAGCTGACCAATGAACATGTAGCATTGAGTGAGAAGTAAATTTTTGTCATTTTGTTACCTCAGCTCATCCTGGCTTATACTGACTGACTGATAGCAGAAAAGCTCAATGGATGGTAACACCTAAATGCTATTTGTTACAACTTCTTCCCGTTCTGCAACAGAAAACCATATCACTTTTGTAAGTGAAAAAGAAAAAAAAAAAAAAAAAACGCCATTTGCCACCATAAGCAATTATGTAATAGTTAAATCAAAAAGCCTTTATCCTCATACCAAACCAAGACATCTGTTCTACCTCCTGTCGCACACACCGGACCATTGCTCAGGAAGTGCTGGTTAAGGCCAATGCTGTGATCTTGGAAACCCTCCATGGAGAGCCCCAGGTCAGCTCCAGGCCTCTGCCCTCACTAGCCTGAGCCCCAGCTGCACACATTTGCAGGACGCCTGCCCCTGGTGGCCCTTACCTCTGCAGACGGTGCCATTCTCCACGGCCTCAAAGCCTGCTTTGCACATGCAGCGCCCGATGGGCACCAGCCACTCGCCCCCCGTTACAATAAAGTTTGATGGGCACGTCTACTTCTTCAGCATTGGCAATGCAACTGCCCCGGGCAGCCCCAGCGATGTGCTCTCAGCCCCCGACAGCGTCTCCTGGAAGATGGCACCATTCTGGATGACACGGGGACACTTGCGGTAGAAGACACGCACAGCAATGAGGGACATGCAGCCACCATAGTCCTGGAAGGCCAGGTAAAAGCCGTTTCGGGACACAGGTCCAAAACTCCGCACCTCAGTGTTGATCTTCATCACCCGGCCACCCAGGTCCACCTGGGAGAAGCTCTCATCGGCCGCGATGGTGTCCACCTTCACCCACGGATTCTCCATCCAGTTGGGGAAAGTCTTGGTGGCCGAGTCAAAGTCAGCCTCATAGTAGTAGAGGTTGAAGGTCTCCTTGCAGGAGCCGGGCACGCTGGGGATGCTGCTGCAGTCACGCACCGAGAATTTCATTTCCACATGGATGCGATGTGCACCTCGGCGCCGGATGAACTTGGTCCGTAGCCAGTTGTTCTGGCTTGACTCAAAGACATTGCACACCTGGTACGTGCGGATGGTGTTCATGTTTTCATCGTAGCCACTCACTCTTCCCACTGCGGGTGAGACGCAAGTCAGGTGGAGGAGGTAGGCCTCAACAAACACCCTGTCTAAGTTGGGGGATAGAGACTCTGTCTTTGGGATCCTCCCATTCTGATGATACAGAGAATTCTGTCTGATGGGGGAAGACATGGCCTTGACCCTGAGGAAATCCCCGGTGTTTAAGTGGCACCAATCTGATGGGAAAGGAAACTCCTTGTTCTTGGTATTCCCCTAGCTGTCATGGGAGATGTGGCCCTAACGGTCAGGGTTCATCAATCTTTTGATAAGAAGATACAGGACCTGCATCTCAGGCTGTCCCTACCTGGAAGTGGAATCGGGAGAGCCCTTCCCACAGAGAGCACCTTCTGATAAAGGAGGCAGCTTTGTGCCTGTGGGGCCACCAGTCTGATGAAGTTGGGGGAGGCAGAACTTCAGTATTCTGGGTGCTCCTGGTCTGACCAAGGAGACACAGTCCTTGTCCTTGGGGATTCCCAGTGTGATGGAGGAGGACAGTTCTTATGCCCACTGACCCAGGGTGATGGGGAAGTCAGGGTCTTTGCTCATGACTACAGCTCTGCTCTGGGGCTTTCTGCCTCTAAGATCTGCTCAGGGAGCCTCCCCTCCTGCCCTTCTGCCTGGGAAGGTGTCTGGCATCTCACTGGGTCCAAGCCTGGGTGATCAGAGCCCAGCCCAAAGTGTGGGGGCCATGGGAAGTACAGAAGGGCACAAGGCCCATGTTGTCTCTACAGATTCACAGGCTGACCTCATCCTGCGGCCAAGCCTTTGCTCAACGCTGTGCCCTCAAGTCTTAATTTGTTTTGGTTTTTGCGGTGCTGAGAATGGATCCAGTGACTTGCGCATGCTAGGCAAACGCCCTGACACTGAGCCCCACCCCTAGGCCTCCAGCATCCTTGGTGGACCTTGACTCAAGGGTTGTCCCCTCTCCACCTGTGTTTGTGTTCATCCCTGTCCCTTGGGCCTCAGGGGACACTCTCTCTGAGTGAATGCCTGGCACACTCAGCCCTCTTTGCCACTCAGATTCCTTGAGCCAATTCTGTGCAGGACAGAGTGAAGGCTGCTGGCTTGAGGAGGGCTAGGAAGGTGAGAAAGGTGAGTGTACAGGGGGAGGGGAGGCCAAGCCAGGGCCTGCTGGCCCAGCCTCTACTTCAATGGCAACTCTGAAGCTCCCTACGTTGAATTTAATTTTTTTTTTTTTTTGGTGGCACCATGTGACAAAGTCAGCCCCTTGTTACAACCGCTGCTCTTCTTCAAAACTTAATTAGAGCACTTAATTAGAGCACTCTGCCTTTCTCCCCTCTCTCTAATTAACATGCGGAGGCCCTGCAGCCCAAACACCCCAAATAATTGCGTCCGGGGGCCCTGCAGCCCAGCCTGGCCTCATTACTGGCAGGGTGGGGCCATGGGCCCAGCAGCCTTCACAGATGGAAAATTGGTGACAAGAAAGAGCCATAGAAAGAGACCTGACCCTGGGGCCCTGCCTATTGAGAGTGAGGCCTGGGGGGGGGCCGCAGCTCCCTGGGGCCGCAGCTGAGTGCCTTGTGGAGAAGCTCGGGTGGGGGAAGGGGTGGATGAGGTGTGGAGTCCAGGGTCCTTCCCAGCGATCAGAGGGAGGAGGAGTGAACATTAAAAACTGATGACGACGATGATGACGATGGTAATAATAATTACAGCTAGTCTTTGGGGAGCCAACCTGTGCCAGACTCTGACTGAGGCACTCTGCAGGAGAACCTCACAATAGCTGGTGAGGAAGACACCATTATCACCCGTAGCTGAGACATGAAGGAAATGGCCCCAAGTCATGTAGCTGGGGGGGGGGGAATTGGGGGGAAAGGGTGGCATTGGGACAGCCTGACCCCACAGCCTCTATGCAAGTGCTAGGGAGAAAAAGGATTCACAAATTGGACTCGAACTTGCCTGTGGGAAGTTCACAGCATAGACATGGGCTTAGAAATCCTACCCAAGGAAGTACCAGAAGAACTCAGGGAAGCAGAGCGGGGCCTTGTGTTACAGGGACCTAGAGAGGGGGCCAGAGAGACTTAGGCACAATCCTGGATACAGACCTGAGCCGCAGCTGGGGTGCAGCTCAATGGCAGAGTACTTCCCTAGCATTGTATGAGGCTCTGGGTTCGATCACTAATACCAACACAAGGCCAAACAAAACAAAGCTGAGCCCCTTCACTTTCTAGTTGTAGAAAGCACCAATCTTACCTTCACTTTCCTCATCAGTAAGGGCAATATTGGAGACAATGTGTATCAAGGTGTTTAGTGTGCTATCTGACACAGAACGGACATTCAGGAGGTGAGAGTTCACTCTCCTCATCTGAAATGGGAGCCTTGCAAGTACCTGCTTCTCAGCCTTGTCCTGAGGATTCCATGGGCTAAGGGCTGGCTGAAAGCATCCAGCCTGTTGTCATGGGAACGGGTCTCCATCAATAGTAGGGATTTGGGAGGGTGGGTAGTGAGTGGCCTGGCTCTGGGCCTTGAAGGGGGAAAGGGATGGAATGTAAGGGGGATTGAGGCCCTGCAGCAGAGCTGGGGGCACCTCAGGGAACTAAGCAGGGTTTGGGGACCACTGACTCACCCCTGATGGGGGATGCACCATCCAGCCCAGCTCAGCCGTCGCTGTAGTGGAGTCCATCAGTGTTTCTGTGGGGAGAGCAAAGAGTCATGGCCCTGTCCTGCCTCCCAGTGCTGTCAGTCACTCTACCCTGATCCCTTGAGGTCCTACTTCCATTGCCCCAAACCATCACAGGGCCGTAATCCTTCAGACTGCCCTCCCTTTTAGACCCTGCTCCCCACTCTAGGACCTCTCCTATTCCCACAGTCTAGCCAATCATCTTGTTCCATTTCTCTAGGTTCTCCCTCTCTGCCCAACTCTAGCCTTCTCCATGGTCAGCTCCTCCCCTAGACAATCACCTCCCACAACCCTAGGTACTGGCCTTTCCTTCCTTCCCAGGGTCTCCCAGATAGGTTCCAGAGAGTGCACCATCAACCCTTGAACTTTTACATCAGATTTTGGGTGTCTGTTCACTTTTCAGCTTGCATCAAATTCTCAAAAACTGAAACAGGAGCCTCTCTTCCACTCCCTGAGCCCTATCAGTTACCCTCTGACATACCACACCTCTATTCCTGAGGACCCTTCCCCAAAGCTCAGCCAACTCTGTCCCCAGGATCTGGCTCTGGGGTGGAAGAGAGATGTTGAAAGCAAGCACCAGGTGTGTGTGTATGTGGCAGGGGGAACACCTGTCACATGTCCCTGGGGTTCAGGAGACTCGATTCACTTCAGAACCCACAGCTGGAGGGAAGGACACAGCTTAGGGTGAAGGAGACCTACTGAGCCCTTGAGAGTCTATACCCCAGTCAGACTCAGGACCCTTTCTTTCTAACCCCTTCCCTGCCAAAATGGCTTCAAAACACTTCTTGAATTGAGTTACAATGCATTGAATGTCATTCAACAAACATATCCTGAGGTCCTTTGTGTACCAGGCACTGGGCTAAGCACCCAAGGGGAAAAACAAGACCCTACATGGAGTAGTTCACTGTCTGTGAGCAGAGATGAGCTGTGAATATAAATGGCAATGAAAGAGTAGGTGAGAGAGACCTAGAAGGTCCATACCACCTATCTCAATAGTGTGCTTTCTGCATTGCTCCAATTCTGAGCTCAGGGCAGGCATCACTAATCAATTCCCATCCTCAGTGGGCACTGAATGCTTCCCACCAGTGTTCCAGGAAGTGAGTGCTGACCACTGGAGGTGCTAGCCCTGGTCCAGCCCAATCACCTCATTTTGAAGAGAAGGCAACTGAAGCAACAGGGAGGGGAAGGGACTTCCTAAATATCACAGAGGAGTTGGTGGGGTGGCACTTGAAGCAATTAGTCTGATGGTCTGGGCTGGATACACTAGGCCAGGAGATTGAGGGCAGGGTGCCCAGTGTCCAGGCTGTGAGAAGGTCCCAATGGGAGGTAATGAGGGTGTGAACTATGGCAGGGTGGCAGGGATGAAGGGCGGGGAAGAGAGGAAGCGTGTGGGTGGAGGTGACCCCAGACAGACCCATGAGCTGACAAGAAGCGCTCTGTGACCGCCTGTGGTTTGTGTTTATGGTCACTGTCCTTTCTGCTCAGAGCTGGTGTGGGAGAGGAGGGTGCAGGGGAGGGGGGGTGTCAGGGACGATGGAACCAGTGCCAAGGGCATCTTTTTGATGGCAAATTGGGGGGAAGTTCTATTATGCAGCATTGGAGCTGAAAGAAGGTTCCTTTTCACACTCCGAATGCTACAGATTTTTCTTCCCGGAGAGACAAGGGCTGAACTTTTAACCTGTTTTCTCTCATCGGCCTCAGCCAGAGACTCGCCAAGCCGGGCTCTCTGCCTGGGCCTGAGGAGCAGCTGCTGGGAGTTGTGTGGAACAAGGGAGAGGAGGACTCTCCTGGGACAGAGAGG